TCCGGGTGGAGGGGGCTGGGGCTGGGGTGGTGGGATGACAGGGCCTGGATGCTAAGGAGCTATCAGTGAGAGAGGCGGCTGAGCAGGTCACACTGCATTCCTTCAAGGTTGGGAGCTGGCCAGAGGGAGCATTCAGGGCTGGGGATGTCCTGCACACTTGCACCCAGCCTTTCGGGGTTGAAGGTTGGGCTTGGGGGGGGGGAGGTATGTGCACCCCCAGGGGGTTCCTCCGCCCTGCTCATGGTTTGCTGGCTCTGCCATGCAAAGCCCCAGGAGGGCCGGGGCCCTCTGGTGCATCTCCTGACCTCATCCTGCCAGTGCCTGTTCCAGCTGCTGTTCACTGCTGACTGCAGCTGGGAGCCAGGCACCTGGGGCGTTACCTCACCTCCTGGGCCCTGCAAGGCTGAGGTTATCACTCTGTGTTGCAGAGGACAAAGCAGTTCTTGGGGTTAAGTGCCAGGATCCTGGTGGTAGAATCGGAACTCAGGTCTTGCTCTTCTGACAGGTGCGCCTGTTGTAGTTCACCCTGCAGCCTGAGCCCAGGCTTCTCTGTAACACATCCCTTCCTCTTGTCTCCTTAGAAACCCACTCCAGGACGGCCCTGACAGCTGGCCCTGCGTCCCTCGGGTTTGCTTGTCAGTGCTGGGAGTTTTCCTCCTGCCCCCTCCCACCTCCTCCAGGTCTCTGCACTGACCTCTTTAACCTCTTTTATCACCGCACCACCCATTTTCTGCTAGGCTATCTGCTGGGTGTTTTGTGGCACAGTTATCTTTACACGTGTTTGTTTTTCAGTGATCTTTTCATATCTGTCCAAGTCTAGTGGAATCCCTCAACTCCTGGAGGGCAGAGCCAGCAGCCTGTTTCCTTATCTGATGCTCCAGCCCACCTGATGAGGGCTGTGGGTGGGGACTGCGGGTCCGCCCTGGGATGGGCGCCTGTGCTCTGCAGTGGCCGGGGCTGCACCTGGAGGCTCCACCCTCAGGCTCAGGCCTGGTAATGGCAGATGTTCCAGACGGGAGTGAAGGAACTGCTGGACGTTTGAGCCGGCGCCCTCCCCCACTCCTACCCTTGCAAATGAGGAGAAGTCCAGGGAAAACCCGGAGTGACCTAAGGACCCCGGGCAACTGGCCCGCAAGAGGTTCTCAAAGCGCCACCCTCTAGCACCTGTAGTGGGTCCGGGATCCTCCCCCCCGCCCCCCTGCCCAACACCCGTCCCGGCGCGCGCCCGGTCTCGGCACCGGGGCCTCAGTCCGTGGCCTCGGCTCTGCTGTCTTCCTGGAGCGCTGCGTCTCCTATCTGTAAGCGTTCCTTTTTTTTTTTTTTTTTTTTTTTGGTTGTGCTTCTGAGAAACTCACTTTTTAACAACTTTCTGCAGGCGCTCGCAGGCCGTCGGAAGCCTCCGATTTTCTTACGCCGCCGGGGCCCCGGTTCGCTCAGGTCCCGCAGCGAGAGCCTCGCCGCCCCCTGGCCCCCGGCCCCCAGCCCCCAGCGGGCGCCCCGCGCCGAGCTCCTCCAGAGCCGGGGAGAGGGGGGCAGGGCGGCCCGGGCCGGTCCCGCAGGAGGGGGCGCTCCCCACAGCCCGGCCAGGGCGGGGGCCCTGGGAACGGGCGGAGGCCGGCCTCGCCCCCCGGCCCCGCGCCCCTCGGTCCGGAGGAGAGGGGCTGGCCCAGCGCCAGCGTCGGAGGCCGGCCCCCTCCCCCGGCCCGCGCACAGCCAACCAGGCCCTCCAGCGGGGCCCACGTGACCTGGAGTTCTAGACAAAGAAAATGTTCCCTCCCTCCCCCCCAGCGCCCCCTCCCCCTCCCTCTGGCCCCCTCCACCCCCAGCCCCATCGCCCCCTTCCCCTCCCCCCAGACGGGCAGCTACTTACAGAGCTTCAGGGCCGGGGCTCACACCTGAGCCGGACCGCAGAGGGGCTGCACCTGGCCTTATGGGTAGGTTCCTGGACGGAGCCCTGGGGAGACCGGGGGCGGGGAGGCGGCCGGGCCGGCCGGTGGGAGGATCACCCAGCCCTCGGTGCTTGAAAAGAAGCAAGTGTGCCCGCCGGCCTGCAGCAGCTGCGGTCCTGCCCGCGAGTTGTCGAGGTGCTGAGCCAGAGCTGTCCCACCTACTCCCTGCTCGGGAGTCCCAGGCCCCACTCTGCCCCTGCGCCAGTGGCACCTGGCGCTCCCAGGGGGGACAGGAGGAGCCACGGGCTGGGGCCGGGGAGCAGGCGGCCTGGCTGGTGGAGTTGGTGGAGCAGGTTGGGCTGAGTTGCTGGCAGGTGGGCGCCTGGCAAATCCCGCTGACCCGTGTTCCCTGCTGGGGGACCGCGCTGTCCTCAGGGCCCTGTCAGCTCGTGGCCTCTGGAGAGGGAGAGCCCTCTCCCGTGAGTTCTCGGGAGTCACCAGGCACCCGGCCAGGGACAAGTGGGAGGGGGCCTTGTGACCCTGACAGGGGCCCTGGGCCGCAGCCTGCCCTGGGCCTGTGATTCTGGGATGGCCCCAGGCCGCGTGGGCTGGGAGGCGGTGGCGCACAGACCTCTGACCTTTGGAATGGGAAGCCTGAGGAGTGGCTGGGGGAGGCAGGGGCGGACAGCTGCCTGGGGAGATGGAACTGGACCGGGAGGCGGTCTTCAGTGGAGTTACCCATGGCTTTCCTAGGCTGGACAAACTCCAGGCCAAGTGGCCTTCTTGGGCTGGCGGTGGGGGGGGGATGGTGTGGTGTCCCTGGTGGATCCTGCCCGGTCTCCGGGCTCCTCGGGGGTAAGGAGCATTGGGCCCCGAAGCCAGGGCCCGGAGTTAACCCTTCTTCCTCCTATTGTTTGCCAGGGTGCAGCTAGAAGTGTGAGAGGAGGGTGCCTTCTCCAACTGCCCCGGCTGACTATTCTAATGAGCCCCTCCCCCACCGGCCGCTCGGCCCCTTCTTCCCCTTCTCGGCCTCCTGCTGCTTACCCACCCCTTCCTCCTTCCCCCACCCTGCCTCCTGGTCCTGATGGAGGCCCCTTCCTCCGAGGCGGGCCGGGTGCGTGCTCTGTGCCGAGTGGGTTGGATGCGCAGCACCTATCAGCGGCGGCAGCTGACAGGCCGAAGGGAGTTGTGGGGGAAGGGGATTTTCAGGAACTCAGCATGGAGGGGCGGAGGAGCTCGACAAAGGGGCTGTGGGGGAGTGCCGAGGGCCTGTCAGGCGCTGCTCCTGGACCTGGGCGCCTGGGCAGGGTGCGCGCCCACCCGCCGCGGCTCCCTGCCCCCCCCCCCCCCCCCCCGCACACCTTGTCCTGGCTGAGGGGCCAGGCTCCGCTGCACACAGGGCCTTGGGGACACCCAAGGCAGCACCCTGATCCAGGTCCGTCTTCCTGCCCGAAGTTTGCAGATGGCGCAGGGCGGAAGGAGCAGGCAGGCGCGGGTTCCTGATGGCGGCTCCAGGAGGGAATCCTCCTGCCCCTCCTGGGTGCCCCTTCTGGGAGGGCAGGACGTGACTGCTGAGGGGTATAGAAGGAAAGGGCGGGCAGAGACCCCGCCAGGTGAGAGAGGGGCCCAGGAGGGGTGAGCAATCACTCTGCACTCCTCCACCTCCACCATCCGCGAGCTCATTTTCCCAGCTGTCTGTGGGCTGGGGCAAAGGGCACGTTATCCCATTTTAGAGTCTGTTGAGTGAGTCAGGCGGAGGACTAGGACTAACATCCTGGGACTCACGGAGCAGGCGGGGAGGATCAACAGAACAGGACGATGCCTGTGAGGCAGCACACTGGGCCGGTGGGATCACAGCAGAAGCTCTGAACCTGGCACCGTCGGATCTGGGGTCCGGTGACCCCAGCTGGAGAGTCCTTAAGCTGTCCAGAAAAGGTGACCAGAAACCGCTTCAGGTTGGAGCAATCCAGAAAGGACTGCTCCCAAGTCGGCTGAGACCAGCTGTGCGGCTAAGATGGGAACGTGCACGGTGGTCCTAGCTCCCCCTTAGAGCTCTTCCCGAGCCTCGCCTCCCTTCACCCAGAGCCTGGGGCTGCACTCCGCGCTCGAGGCTCTGGGAAAACGGGGCTTTTTTTTTTTTTTTTTTTTTACTTTGAGTCCGATGTGGTGGAAACGGATGCAGAGCCGTGAAGTCCGAGGCCCGTGCGTCCTAGAGTCTGAGCGGGGTGAGATGAGGTTGGGTGGTCCTCAGAGCCGAGTATCAAGGATTTCATTCTCCTTTATAGGGATCCTGGAGCAGGTTTTGAGAAGGAATGGGCGCGCGGATCGTAGCCCGAAAGACGAGTGTGATACGGTGAAAGGATGGAGGCCGTCCCTGGGGAGAATGACGGGGGGTTGTGGATTGGCCGTGTGTTGGTGGGATGGCAGGGAGAGCGCAGGCTCACAGCATGTTCATGGATCAGGGAGCTGTACCCGGAAGGGGAAGGGAACGGCAAGCCCTACCGGTGGGGTGGGCATAATCCTGAAGACCCCCCGCCCTAGGCCCCTGGTGGCTGGCGGCTGAGCCTGGGAGCAGGCGGCCCTCAGGGAGTTGTCCTGGTGTTCCAGCAGATAGGGGAGAAGCCTGCTCTGTAACTCCAGAGCAGAGATTTGATCACTAAACCAGAATTGTGGTCTGGAGACCAGCAATCGTAGGGGTTCGTTGCCCAGGGAACTTATAGAGAAAAAGACCACAGGATCCCGCTCGCGACTGGGAAGGAGATAGGAGAGGACGGAGCCGAAGTGTGTGCCTGAACAACGGTGCATGATTAAGACTCGAATCCGACCAAACTTCCTGTGTGAGGGTGTGCACCTGATGCGCTGAGCAGGTTGAGAGGCGAGACCAGGGAGCAGGGCTACCTAAGAAGGCTGGGGTTGAGCTGATTGATTTGAGTTCACTGCTCCACTTTTCCATAGCAAGCCGCTTGGGCTGATGTGGGAAGCCTTTGCTTCTCCGGCCCTTTACTTCTGTCCCTGTCTTCAGGCCACAGACAGGTTGAGAAGAGGCCCCCTGAGTCTTAGGTGGCCTTGCTAGTTCCTGGGGAGCTCAAGGCCCCTACTTCTTCCCCCCAGGCTGAGAAGAAAGCCAAGGTCATTGCCGTGATGAATGCTGTAGAAGAGAGCCAGGGGTCCGGGGAGCCCCAGAAGGTGGAGGAGGCCAGCCCTCCTGCTGTGCAGCAGCCCACCGACCCCGCCTCCCCCACTGTGGCCACTACGCCCGAGCCCGTGGGGGCTGATGCCGGGGACAAGAACGCCACCAAAGCAGCCGACGACGAGCCGGAGTACGAGGTGAGCGGCTTGCTTCCTCACCACAGCCTTGTCCAGCTCTCCTGGGGCCTTCCACTGCCAGCTCCTCCCGTCCTGCTCTCCTCTCTCCATCTCCCGCTGGCCGCTCGCTCTCTCCACCCGACCCCCAGCCTCTTCGTCGCCCCGAGTTTGCTCTGTCTCGCCCCATTCAGGTGGAGCTTCCTCCCGGCTGTCCTGCCCCCCCAGATGCCCAGGGCTGGGGTTGCCCCGGGGGGATCCGGGTGGCAGGGCCTCGTGACCACCGCGTAATGATTTCTGCTCCTTGGGGCTCCAGGACGGCCGGGGCTTTGGCATTGGGGAGCTGGTGTGGGGGAAACTGCGGGGCTTCTCCTGGTGGCCAGGCCGCATAGTGTCCTGGTGGATGACGGGCCGGAGCCGTGCAGCCGAGGGGACCCGCTGGGTCATGTGGTTCGGAGACGGCAAGTTCTCAGTGGTGAGTTGGAGGGCTGCCCTGGGGGAAGACAGGGAGGGGGCTCGGTTGCGGGGCCTGCGGTTTTGGCTGGGGCAGAATGGAGTTGGGGTGGTCAGAGTGGGCTCTGGCTCTGGGCGTGGTGAGCAGAGTAGCCTGGGCCTGTGGTCAGAGCCCGACGAAGCCCCTGCACTATGAACCTGCCCACCGGGCTCAGGCCGCCTCCTCCCCTTCCTGGGAAGGACGCCCCCTTGGCATGGGGAAGTTAGTGGCGTGTCTCTTGTCCCCATCCCCTCGAGGACTCGTCCTCCTCGTGCTCCCAGCCCCAGGCGGTAGAGAGGCCCTGGCAGGTGCCTGAGCGGGTGGGAGCAGCCAACATGGCCGCCGGTCCCCGCAGGTGTGCGTGGAGAAGCTGATGCCGCTGAGTTCGTTCTGCAGCGCCTTCCACCAGGCCACCTACAACAAGCAGCCCATGTACCGCAAGGCCATCTACGAAGTCCTGCAGGTGAGGAGGGAGCTGGACAGCGGGGGCCGTGGAAGCCAGGGTGCCAAGCTTTGGCCTGGGCAGCGGGCAGCGAGTCCACAGCAAGGCCCTAGAGCGGCCACGCCTCTCCTCCCGCCTCAGATCGCCTCCCCCCACCCCCACCTGTGCCCATCCTCAGTGCTCTCCGAGCCAGGCCTTGAGCTTGCTGTCCTGACTCCGCCCTGACCCGTTGCCCTGCAGGTGGCCAGCAGCCGCGCGGGCAAGCTCTTCCCGGCCTGCCATGACAGTGACGAGAGCGATACTGCCAAGGCCGTGGAGGTGCAGAACAAGCAGATGATCGAGTGGGCCCTTGGGGGATTCCAGCCCTCGGGCCCCAAGGGCCTGGAGCCACCAGAAGGTAACTTTGGATGCCCACCCCAGCCTTCGAGACCCCTGTCGGCCTGTCAGATCCAGGCCGGGGCTCAGGAAGCTGTGCTTGGGCGAGAGCTGCCTAGGTCCGCTAGAGGGCTCAGGGCTCAGCCACTCTGGGGGCCGCACTGCACCCTGCTGTAGGTAGGATAGGGCAGCTGGCACGTGCTCCTTCTCACCCTGACCTGGTTACCTGCTGCCTGGCAGAGGAGAAGAACCCCTACAAAGAAGTTTACACGGACATGTGGGTGGAACCCGAGGCAGCCGCCTACGCCCCACCCCCACCAGCCAAAAAACCACGGAAGAGCACGACGGAGAAGCCCAAGGTCAAGGAGATCATTGATGAGCGCACACGAGGTATTGGCCCGGCGGCAGAGAGCGGCCGTGGAAGGTGGGCACAGCCCACTGGCCACCTCTGATGCTGTACTCCCCCCTCTGCAGAGCGGCTGGTGTACGAGGTGCGGCAAAAGTGCCGGAACATCGAGGGTAAGCCTCCCGCCGGGGCCAGGAGGTCGCGCACAGAGCGGCACGGGTTCTTGGGAGGGCTCAGGACCCAGGGGCTGTGACACCCACGCCCGGTGTGAGCGGTCTGTCCTGCGTTGTCCACCATCTCCAGCCTGCGTCACGTGCCATCTGTTGCCCTGGTGCTGCAATTTTGCCCTCTTGGTAATGGCATGGGCTTTGGGACGGCGCAGTGGGCCAGAGTAGGGTGGACTTGATTGAACCTTCCCGAAGATGCTTCATGGCCTTTCCTTTTTCCTGGCTTTTCTCATCCCAAATCTTCTCCTTGGCCTCAGTGGCTTGGGGCCCTTGAAGCCTAGAAGCACTAGGGGCAGGGGACCAGGACTGGAAACTGTCTCCGAAATACTTCCCGAATGGCTCACAGCCAGGGCCCTATTCTTGTGCGTGGTGTCCTGCACCTGTGTCGTCCTGTTCACGGATGCTGGTATTGCTTGTCCAAGAGAGGAATGGACTTGTGGGATGGGGCCCCGCCGAGCTCGGGCCTGTTTCTCCCGACCTGGGCTCTGGCCTGGCTGGGAGGGTGCCCCTCGCCGATGCTCACTGCACTCGCCCTGCCTTCCAGACATCTGCATCTCGTGTGGGAGCCTCAATGTCACCCTGGAACACCCCCTCTTCATTGGAGGAATGTGCCAAAATTGCAAGGTAGGCCCCATGGCCTGCCCCTCCTGCCTCTGTGCACGTGTGGGGGGTGGCAGCCGACTGGGGGTGTGGCACAGGCCTCTTGGGGTTCGCTCTGGAGCAGGGTCCTGATCACATGGACCCCTGGGCTCCAAGCTTCTGACTCGCTCTTATTTTTTCCTCTGAAAGTTTCTCTGGATTTCAGTTTGTCCTTGGACATGGGCGGGGTAGGGCTCTCGGTGTCACCCTCGCTAGTGTGAGTGCGGTGGCCAGCACAGAGGCAGGGATGGGGCAGGTTGACTGGTGGGTGGACCCTGAATGCAAAGGCCCAGGATTGCAGGAAGGACCAAGGCGGGGTGGGCAGCTCCCACCCAGCTGTGCTTTGGAGCACAGTGTGTGGGGAGAGAAGGCGCCCCCGACCCGGCTGTGTGGAGCAGGCCTAGTGCTGGCTGGGCGGGCGGTGGGGTCTTCAGGGCCGAGTCAGTCCTTAGAGCCGGGGCTCAGCGCCTGCCGCCGCCCTGACTGTGCTGGGGTCCTCCCTGCTGCTCCCTAGAACTGTTTCCTGGAATGCGCCTACCAGTACGACGACGATGGCTATCAGTCATACTGCACCATCTGCTGCGGGGGGCGCGAGGTGCTCATGTGTGGGAACAACAACTGCTGCCGGTGAGACCCCACCCTGCAGCCACTCGCTGGGCCCAGGGGCTGAGGGGCCCCTGTGCTCACTGGGCCGCCTTCCAGGTGCTTCTGTGTGGAGTGTGTGGACCTCTTGGTGGGGCCGGGGGCTGCACAGGCGGCCATTAAGGAAGACCCCTGGAACTGCTACATGTGTGGCCACAAGGGCACCTACGGGCTGCTGCGGCGTCGGGACGACTGGCCCTCTCGGCTCCAGATGTTCTTCGCCAATAACCACGACCAGGAATTCGTGAGTGCCGGGCCTGGGGCGCGCTCGAACCCTCTGCCCAGCCTCAGCCGCAGTGCTTCTCCCTGGCCGTGGGCCGGAGTGCACACTGGGCACGCAGGTCTAGAAAGCCAGGAGCTGCCGCGTACCTCTGGGAGGGCCAGCCCGGGGCTGGGGCCTGTGGGACACCTCCAGGCGGAGCCTGACCTGTTGGGGCCCATTACTTAGGACCCTCCGAAGGTTTACCCGCCTGTCCCAGCTGAAAAGAGGAAGCCCATCCGGGTGCTGTCTCTCTTTGATGGAATTGCTACAGGTGAGCGGCACAGGTTCCCAGAACCGGCCCCCTCACTCTCGGCGGGGAAGCGTGTGTGTGTGTGAGTGTGAGTGTGTGAGTGACACTGATGAAACAGAACAGTTACTAACACAAGAGCTATTCAAGTATTACACAGAAGGTGGATGCTTGGTGTGCAAAAGACACAGGCTGGGCCCGAGGGGTGGCGCGGCCCGTGTGGGCCCTGCGCTTGCTGAAGGGCAGGTCTGAGTCAGTGACGGAGGTTTTCACAAAGCCTCCGAGAACAGACTTGGTGACCAGAGCGTGCAGTAACACTGTGTCTTGATAAACAAGGCTAAGTCTCATCTTACCAGTGATGCGTGTGTGTGGAGCGAGAGCACAGTGAGTGTGTGATGTGTGGTAACTTGCTTGTCGTTTATCATGTTACCGCTTTCTCATGTCGGCTACTGCAGAGCTACCTTTTCTGTTTGTAAATGCTGGCTGCGGTCCCATTGACTGGAGCGCTGTGATGTGCTGCACGGCCCCCTTGGGTTGTTTACGTTTTGCATTATTAGAAGCAGCCCTGTGGCGAGCATCCTCATACACACATTTTTATAGACTTAGATCCTCAGCTCCTTGGGAATGCCTCTTAGGAAAAGCGGGGTCACCATGCAACACGACTTTGCTCCCCACGTGGTCGCCGATGCTGACAGCAAGCCCTCCTGAGAGACAGTGCCCTTCCTGCCAGGCCCAGGGCCTCCCAGTTCTGGCGAGAGAAGTAGCTCCCTGAGCACTCTTGTCTGCAGCGAGCCAGATGGAGACAAGGCCACCTGAGCATGCGGCCCCGGGTCCGAGGGCGCAGGCGGCCAGACGTTTGTCTGTCGTTCTCAGTGCCAGTGTCCTGTGACCTAAAGTAGCTCGTCACAGCTGTGAGTGCCCAGGCTGGAACCTGGAGGCCTTCTCACGTCACGTCACGTCACACCCCAGGCGGCTATAAAAAGCGCCGTGGTGGGAGGCCTGCTGGGAGCCTGTGGCGCTGCTGTGCCCTGATTTCTCCCCTACAGTCTGTTCTGATGGTTCGGCGAGCGTTGATGGGGACGGGTCACAGTCAGGTGGGCAGTGCAGGGAGCGAGCGGGGAGGAAGCCCCAGGAAGGACATCCCCGCCTCTGTCCTGAAGATGCAGTTCCAGAAAGGGGCCGAGTGCCGGGGGTTTCCAGGGCCGGGGACACTGGCGTTTTGGTTGGGACTAGAAGGGTGGAGTAAGCTTGCCGTGGGCGGTGAGGAAGGACCAGGCTTAGATGTGAACACAACAGAGACTCCCTGACCTGCTACTGTCGGGTCAGTCTTGCTGACCTTGATTGCCACCCAGAGAGCCAGGCTGGGAGGGGGCCACTGCAGTCACGGCCGTGTTGTTGGTATTCCAGTCTGAGAGAGACGGGACTTGGCACTGCAGCTGGCTGGGTGCTGGCCCTGGGTGACGGTGCTCTCTGCCGGCTGGCACAGGGCTCCTGGTGCTGAAGGACTTGGGCATCCAGGTGGACCGCTACATCGCCTCAGAGGTGTGCGAGGACTCCATCACGGTGGGCATGGTGCGGCACCAGGGGAAGATCATGTACGTGGGGGACGTCCGCAGCGTCACACAGAAGCACGTACGTCGGTGCCCTCGTCCCGCCCTTCACCCGTCCCCCCAGTCTCTCTCCCTCCATCTTCCACGTCTCCTCTATCTCGACAGGGAACGGGCAGATGAAAAATAGGAATGGGGGGCTGTTCGTGTGGGGCCCGAGCTACTCCCTGGGCAAGTTCTGACTAGGGCCCTGCTGATAGAGAACAATAGCGTCTCCCCAACCTCCACCCACCCGAGTGTGACTCTGCCCTTGCCCTTGGCGGGGGCTGCCTGTGGCCACTACAGGCCCTCTGGACACTGAGGGACGGTGATCAGATGGCCCAGGCACTGGGCTGGCTTCCTTTCCTGCCAAGTGGCTGCTTGCTTTTCTTTTTTTTATTTCAAACGAAGAGTTACAGAAAAGAGAGACTTTTTTTTCTTTTGACAGGCAGAGTGGACAGTGAGAGAGAGAGACAGAGAGAAAGGTCTTCCTTTGCTGTTGGTTCACCCTCCAATGGCCGCCGCAGCCGGCACGCTGCGGCCAGTGCACCGCGCTGATCCGATGGCAGGAGCCAGGTACTTATCCTGGTCTCCCATGGGGTGCAGGGCCCAAGCACTTGGGCCATCCTCCACTGCACTCCCTGGCCACAGCAGAGAGCTGGCCTGGAAGAGGGGCAACTGGGACAGAATCCGGCGCCCCGACCGGGACTAGAACCCAGTGTGCTGGCGCCACAAGGCGGAGGATTAGTCTAGTGAGCCGCGGCGCCGGCCAGAGATCTTTCATCTGTTGGTTCACTCCCCAAATCACTGCAAATGACCAGGGCTGGGCCAGGCTAAATCCAGGAACCAAGAGCTGCTTCCAGGTCTCCAATGTGGGTGCAGAGGCCCAAGCACTTGGGCCATCCTCTGCTGCTTTCCCAGGTGCATTAGCAGGGAGCTGGATTGGAAGTGGAGCGGCCGGGATTCAAACTGGTGCCCATATGGGATGCCACGCTGCAGGCCGTGGTTTAACTTGTGCCACAGCGCCAGCCCCTAAGTGGCTGCTTTCGTGGCACACGCTGGGTCCCCTGTTGGCTCCACAGATGACCCAGTTTGGTCCCTTTGCTTACTGTTGAGAGAGCTCAGCCCAGAGAGCCTCAGAGACTTGCCTGTGGCTGCAGCGAGGGCAGCAGTCATGCGGGGTGGCCAGGTCCCCCCCTCCCAAGCCAAGTACTTTTCTGCCGGATTCACAGGTGATTTCCTTTCTGCCTCTGTCCCTGTCCTCCCAGATCCAGGAATGGGGCCCATTTGACCTTGTGATCGGGGGCAGCCCCTGCAACGACCTCTCCATTGTCAACCCTGCCCGCAAGGGGCTGTATGGTAGGTGCTTCCTCCAGGGGTCAGCTCCCAGGGCCCCATTCTTCCCCTCCCCCACCTGCCACTGTGTGACGCAGCCAGCCAGCTGACGGCTTTCTCTTCCCACCTCGCAGAGGGCACTGGCCGGCTCTTCTTTGAGTTCTACCGCCTCCTGCATGACGCGCGGCCCAAGGAGGGAGATGATCGCCCCTTCTTCTGGCTCTTTGAGAATGTGGTGGCCATGGGCGTTAGTGACAAGAGGGACATCTCACGATTTCTCGAGGTATAGCCAGCAACTGGGGTTCAGCCCGCTCACTAATGGCTTCTACCTTGGGCTGCCGCTTCATCGCCATCTCACCTGCCTTATGGAGCTGGGGGCTGGTGACTGTTGCTTTGCAAGGGGCCTGTTTGGGTGGAAAGGGAGGAAGCAGTGTTGGAGGCCCCCCTGGAAGTGTAGCCAGTGGTCTCAGTGCGAGGTGGGATTGTGAGTGTGGCCTTCACTAAAGGGGTATGGTCCAGCCTCCTGGGGTGGGGGGTTCTGTGTGCCATGAGTCCAGTTCAGTACTGAGTCTAGTTTGAGCCGTGCTCAGAGCATTAGTTTGGTGCTGCAGGCGGCACTCTCGGGGTGGGCCGAGGCGGGGCTCTAGCCTGTTTTCCTGTCTTTGGAGTCACTAAGCACAGGCTGGTGAACAGGTCTCTCCTTTCCCTCTGGTGTCCAGTGAGCACACTCACGCCCCAGACCAGTGCTGCACTGTCCAGTGTGGAAGCCATGAGCCGCTTGGGGCTGTTGACAGTAGCAGGAAACCTTTAGTTCCTTCTTAGTACACATAGCCACCCGGGTATAGCTGCTGGACTGGTGGCTACCATGTAGGACAGCGTACTTGAAGGACTTTCCCGTTGTTGGAGAAAGTTCATGTGGCCCATGCCGGTCTAGAATGTTCCTGTGAGAGTGTGAAGTGTGGCTAGATTTCATTCCAGCCTTTCCTGGAGGCTTCTGGCTACCCCAGGACATGACCTCCAAATCAGCAGAATCACCCAGTCCCGCCTAGCACCCCTGCTCGGCTCACCTCGGCGCTCTCTCCTGTTTTCTAGTCCAACCCCGTCATGATTGATGCCAAAGAAGTGTCGGCCGCACACAGGGCCCGCTACTTCTGGGGTAACCTTCCCGGTATGAACAGGTTGGTGAGAGCTTCCGGGCCTGGGAGGTCTGAGGGTGGGGGCGCTGAGCGGGCCCCCTCTGCCCGATGGCTTGCCGCCTTGTTCACTTTCGTCCCTTTGCGTCGAGGAGGAAGGCAGTTGGGTGTAGCGTGAGAAGCCCGCCCGTGGTGGTCTCTAATGACCTGCACGACCTTGGGCTCTCCTGAGGCCAGCCGTGGAGGACGAGGCCGCCGGGAAGCACAGGGAGTGGTCTCCCAGCTGCCCGTATCCTGCTGCAGGACAGGGAGCCTCGAGGCAGCCCGGTGCCGCTCCAGGGCTCTGCTCAGTGTCTTGATCACACTGTTGGAAGAATTTACTGCATTTTGGATATTACACAGATTTTGAAAACCAGGAAAGAAGAAAGCTTCATTTTTTGGGTGTAGTAATTGCAGTGTTAAAAGATCTGCGTGAAGAGAAAGGCATGGTTCAGGAGCGGAGCCTGGCATCCACCCTGGAGGGAACTGTTTACTTTCCAGCATGTGTGAGCCATGGCTTTTCAGCCTCCTTTGTTCACCTGAACCTGGCGAGTGTCAGTTAACCTGGCCTCAGTCGTCTGGTCCCCCTCTGGGCTGTTCCCACGGGAGTCAGACCTTCCGGGATGTGCGTGAGGGGAGAACAGGTGGGCTGCACAGGCCTGGATGTTCATGGACTCGGTGTGGTGTCTCTGGATAGACTGTGGGCCTGTGGCGGTCACACCTGCTGCTTCCAACTCTAAAACCCTAGAACCTGGGCGCTCTGGAAGAAGCAGAGGCACCACCTGGGGCCGGGAGGCGCACCGAGCGCCTGGTTAGACGGCAAGTCCCTGTGGTTCCCGTGCAGAGTGCTCACCCCGGAGCTGGCCGTCAGCTGCCTGGCCTGGGCCCTGAGAAGGGAGGGAACGCTCAGGACTTCAGCCTTTGGGAACTGTACAAAATGTCTTCTTTCCAATTGGACATCTAGGGTGTACAGCCTGCGTACCCACCGCAAGTCAAGATACAGTGCCTTCTGTACTCAAAGCTTGCTTTGTGGTGGGACTTTTCAAACATTTAAAAATACGCCCTGCCCTGAGGGTGGGTGTCACTTGCCCTTGGTTGTCTGAGACCACTCTTGACTTTGCTTGGTGGATCTGTGTCTATGGATGGCTGCAGTATGTGTGTGTGTGTGTGTCTTGGGGTACTTGAGGAGGGTTACTCCTATGTGTGTGCTTTGGGGGCGGGGCCCTTACCTGCCGGTGGGAGTCAGATGGCTGCTGGGGGGTGAGCGCCCTTGCTGGGGTCCGTCCCGCTGTGACAGTCTCTCTTCTGCCCCCAGGCCGTTGGCATCCACTGTGAATGATAAGCTGGAGCTGCAGGAGTGTCTGGAGCATGGCAGGATAGCCAAGGTCAGCCTCAGCACCCCTGGGCGCGGGGAGCAGGGCAGAGCACAGGGCGAGGTGGAGAAGGCGCTGTGGTGGACAGGAGCGGAGGGTGCAGGCTGCCGGCCTTCAGACCCGCCTCCCTCCCTGGCGAGCAGTGGGAGGTGGACACCAAGGTCCTGGATGTGCTGTGGCTTTTTTTTTTTTTTTTTTTTCCTTTGCAAGGCAGAAAGAGACACAGCTCCCATCTGCTAATCGGCTGCCTTAAAGCCTGCAGTGGCTGGGCCTGGGCCTGCGCCACAGTTGGGAGCCAGAAACACAGGCCAAGTCTCTCCCATGTGGGTAACAAGAACCCAGTGACTTCAGGCCCTCACCTGCTGTCTCCCAGGACCTGCGTTAGCAGCAGGCTGGAGTCAGGAGCCAGAGCTGGCAACCAGACCGGGTGCCCTGATGATCGACGCAGGTCTCCTGACCGCTGGCTGCTCCCTGTGGCCTTGCTCAGTTTGTTTTTTCAGCCAGGACCCACTGTGAAAGCAGGGAAGCCTCCACTGATGTGGAAGCTCCATTTCCGGGAGAAACCTCCTGGTGTGTGTGCCTGTGTGGAGCGCTGGTTCCATACCAGCAGCGCCGAGTGCTTGTGCCGCTGACACCCCAGGGAGTGTCTCTTAGCCCTGAGGTCTTTGGTATCTTGTGGCCTGCCAGTTAGCACACCTCTGAAAGAGGTTCTTTGGGAGACTTGGAGAATCTGACGTGCTGGGTTGGGATGAAGGATGCACAGTGACAAAAGTAGGAGGAAAAGCAGGTTGGTGGGGCCCATGGAGGCTGCCGCCTGGCCAGCCCAGCTTGTCCGGATGCAGCTGGACCCTAGCCCCCGGATGGACCCGGGCCTGGCCGGCGTTGGTGAGTGCCTGGCCTGCTCGGTAGCTGCAGGACCTGTGTGTGGCTGAATGCACGCGTGTTCAACTTCTTTTTCTCTCTTCGTCCTCTAGTTCAGCAAAGTGAGGACCATCACTACCAGGTCAAACTCCATAAAGCAGGGCAAAGACCAGCACTTCCCCGTCTTCATGAACGAGAAGGAGGACATCCTGTGGTGCACTGAGATGGAAAGGTACCCGCGTCTGCCTGCCAGCCTCTTGCCGTGCTGAGGGAGGGAGGCGCCTCCGCTTTTCCTGTCTCGCGTTTGCCGCAAGCCCCACGTGAGCAGCACACAATTTGCCCAGCTTTCCTGACCCGGCGGACTCCTGCGGACATCTCTTGCCTTTAAGACTGATTCCAGCAAGAGGAGTCCAGGAGCCCGTCCCTGGCGGCTCGGCCAGCGAGCTCCTGCCGCCCAGCAGCTGCCCTGACCCGTGCTGCCTCTGTAGGGACAGCTGGCCCACTGTGTCTGAGGATTCAGCCAACTGTCAGGTTTTTTCTTTTAAGATTTAGGTTTTTTTTGAAAGGCAGAGTTGGAGGGGGAGAGAGAGAGCTTCCATACACTGGTTCACTTCCCAAATGACTGCAATCGTCAGAGCTGGGCCACCCTGAAGCCTAGAGCCCGGGACTCCACCCGGGTCTCCCACGTGGGTGGCAGGGGCCCAAGCACTTGGGCCATCTTCCGATGCTTTCTCAGCACAATAGCAGGGGGCAGGATCAGAAGTGGAGCAGCTGGGATTCAAAACAGCATTCATATGGGAGGCTGAAGTTGCAGGCAGTGTCTTGACCTGCCCTAAAGATACTACTTTTTAAGTTTCACCTGTGCTGGGTGCTGAATGTGTAGACTTCTCGTACGAAGAAGGTATAATAACTATTTACATGACATTTATATTGTGTTAGATACTCCAGATAGAGATGATTTAAAGAGTACAGATGTATATAGGTGGCATGGCAAAACACTATCCCCCTCCCCCCCGCCTTTTGTTTTTCCTTTTTCAAAATTTTTGTTTTTTACTTACACCATCAAGTGATTCACACTGGGCCAAGCCAAAGCCAGAAGCCTGGATGGCATTCCTGGTCTCCCAAGTACTTGAGCCATCACCTGTGGCTTCCCGGGGTGTGCACTTAGCAGGAGGCTGAAGTCAGGTGGAGCCGGGACCCCAACCCGAGCACTGCAGTGCGGATGCCGGCGTCCTAAGTAGCGACTGCAGTGCTGTGCCGTTTTGCATAAGGGACTTGAGCATCTGTTGGCTTTTGGTAGCAGGGGTTTTAGAATCTGACCCTGGAGGATGCCGAGGGTTGGCTGTATTTTGTAGAACAAGATCAGAAGGTGCGTGGGCCTTACGAGCTAAGCACCCTGAGGCCGTGCACTCTGGACTCGGGGCTCTGGTCCTCCGGAACCCAGACGGAGACACCACTCACGCAGACAGGGACTCTGCAGGAGGTCAGGGTCTCCTCCCGCTGGGGAGGTGCTGGTGCTGTGAGTGTAGGACACGGCCTGGAGACGCCGTGGGGCGTGCCTGGAGGATCTCGGGGCGCTGACTCCGTCTCTGCTGCGCCCTAGAAGATGAGGCCGTGGTCTCGGGGCCTGGCACGCAGGTTGTGCAGGGCAGAGAGTGTGCAGACGCAGGCATGCGAGGTGGCGCGCGTGGGTGTGAGCGTGGGGCGCCCGATGCCTCCTGGCGGGGCCAGCACTCAAGCGCCCTCCCACCTCTCGTCCCCAGGGTGTTTGGCTTTCCTGTGCACTATACCGACGTCTCCAACATGAGCCGCTTGGCGAGACAGAGGCTGCTGGGCCGGTCGTGGAGCGTGCCCGTGATCCGCCACCTCTTCGCTCCGCTGAAGGAATACTTTGCTTGTGTGTAAGGGACGTGGGGGCAAACCGAGGTAGTGACACAGTTAAACAAACAAACAGCAACCACAAAACACAATAAAACACCACGAACGTGAGGATGGAGAGAAGTATCAGCACCCAGAAGAGAAAAAGGAATTTAAAACAAAAACCACAGAGGCGGAAATACCGGAGGGCTTTGCCTTGTGAGAAGGGTTGGACATCATCTCCTGATTTCTCAATGTTAATCTTCAGTCCTATTTAAAAACAAAACCGAGACCCCTCCCTCCCTTTCCTCTCTGCTCCCCCTCCCCTCATTTTTTTGGGTCAAACCTTTTGTTTTCTACTCTTTCAGAGGGGTTTTTCTGTTTGTTTGGGTTTTTGTTTCTTGCTGTAACTGAAACAAGAGGGTTATTGCAGCAAAAATCAGTAACAACGACAACAAAATAGTAACAATACCTTGAGAGGGGCGGTGGGAGAGAGGGAATGGAAATTCTATAGAAATCTATATATTGGGAATTTTTGGTTTTTTTTTTTTGTTTGTTTTTTACTATATATCTTTTTTTTTTTTTTTCGTTGTCTCTAGCCTGATCAGATTAGGAGCACAAGCAGGGACAGAAAATAGAGACACTCAGGCAGCCGCATTCTCTTCCAGCCATGAGCTGCCTGCCAGCACCATTCCTGGTCATGCAAAACAGAATCCAACTAGGGGCAGGGGACACGACACCACACAAGACCCTTTTCTACAGTATTTCAGGTGCCTACCACACAGGAGACCTTGAAGAAAATCAGTTTCTAGAAGCCGCTGTTACCTCTTGTTTACAGTTTATATATATATGATAGATACGAGATATATATATAAAAGGTACTGTTAACTACTGTACAACCCGACTTCACAATGGTGCTTTCAAACAGCGAGATGAGTAAAAACATCAGTTCCACGTTGCCTTACGTGCAAAGGGTTCCAACCAAGGGTGGAGAAAGGGGATGCAGCTTGCTGGGTTGTTTTTTTTTCCCCTTGGTTTTTAACGAGGTGAAGGAGGAAGGAGAGTTGGGGAGCGGCGTCCTCCCGCCTCTCCCTGCCAAAAACAAAAAAACGGGACGGGCGGTGGGGATGTAAGATGAGGTGGCCGGGAGCGTGGAGAGCTGAGAGTGGTATCAGCCAGACCCATGCAATAACCTTTTGATTTTTTTCTAAGAGGAGACTCCGTGGGCAGGATGGCAGGGTGAGGGGTCCTCGTTCCCAGCGGCCCGCAGATCTGAGGGCTCCTGCGGTGGGATGAGAAAGACCCAGAGTGTGGGCCAGTGACAGTTACAGACCCACCTGGAGCAAATAAAAAACATACAGAGCGCACTGGTGCTTCCTGTCTAAGTCGCCTCTTGTGTGTTCTTTTATGAGGCCTCAGCATCCAGCCCCTGTGCACAAGGCGGCCACGTGCCCCTGGAATGTGATGTTTTTGGTCATCTCCACAGGCTGCAGTTTTATACTGGGAGGCTAATGACATCTTTATTATCGTTATTATGCTTATGGTTCTGGTTATCATTATGTTTGTTTTCAGATTTTCTTTAAGAAAACAAAAACCCAACCCCCTTCCCTTTGGGTTTCAAACCAAGGTGCGGGGAGCAGGGTGCTTCTAAGTGGCGGTGGCTCTGGTGCCCTGGCTCCCGCCCCTCGGGCCAGGTGGGCCACTGGGTGCAGCAAGAGCCAGGCGGCCGGGCGGGGGGCCGGGGTGTCCCCAGGGCCCGCCTCCGGCTCCTCACTCTTCTCTTCTCCTTCCCTCCTCTCGGGTCAGGTGCGTCAGGGCTGGAGGGAGGCCCGGCCGGCTCTCTCCTTGTGTGTGTGTGTGTGTGTGTGTGTGTGTGCGCGCGCACGTGGAGTGGTGTGTATTTCTTTTCTAGTACTTGGTCTGATGATAGCTGTGCTCTTAGCGCGAGTCAGCAGCACCTGGAGCCCAAGTGCTCGAGGACGCCTGGTCCCGCTTCCTACCAAGGCAGGCAGCCCGGCAGTGGCGGTAGGAAGGGGCGGCGGCGGCTCCAGGGCGAGGGCCCGACGGGCGTTGCTTGCCTGGGTGGCTGGGGTGTAGATATGTGGCATATAGAGATATATATTTTATAATGGGAGGGGTGGGCGGCACCTCCTGGGACCGGCAAGGGCTGGGAGGTGTGCTGCGAAGCACATGGTCCCAGTCCTCGTCCCGAGAAAGATGGGGCCTACGGTGATAGGCGCTATATAAATACATAGATAGGGTCATGTTTAAGAAATATTATGTAGTGGGGAGTGGGGGAAGCAGGCTCGGGGTGCCGAGCCCGGGTCCCCGCTGCAGACGCGAGCCCCACGCCAAACAGTCAATCTCGCACACATGCACAGGAAGCTCTCCCGACGGAAGCCTAACGGATCGCTCGCACACACGCCAGGGGGCGCCCTCTCCCCCGTTTCAGGACTTTGTGGAGTCAGCCCGTGCAGCTCTTTACCTCTGTTGCCCTGGTTGCAGGTAGACTGTCAATCCCAGAAGTTGCTAGGTGCTGAAGGCAGGACAAGGAGGAGGATTTATTTAGCAGGTGCTCTCCTCTAGCAGGTAGTGTTCTATCTCTTTTGCCCCTGGTGATGTCAAAAGATTCTTCTGTTAGCAACCTGTGATAACTGACCTGCAACTTTAGGCACCAGTAAAGTCAGCCCTCACCTCCCCCTACCTATTCTCCCCAATCGAAATCAAATTGACATCTGTCTGTCTTGGCCATGGGGCTTCCACTGGGGAAAAAAATGGGACCGTGAACCTCACCTTGTGATTTAAGCTAATTAGTAATTCGTGATGCAACCAACCGGAATCCCTGCTCATGCCCTGGGGCTTGATCACAGCTGGCAGCCTCTGGCCCCTTTGATGGGTGCTTGGTCCTGGCCCTTGCTGGACCCTCAGCCTGTTTCCTGGATGGGCTGATCCCTAAGATCACAGCGCTGGGCCCGTGGGGCTGGAAAAGAGGAGGCCCCTGCTAACTGTGGTGCTCACCTGTCCCCTCCTCGCTCCAGCCGCCCTCCACCTCCATCCTGTGGCCTGGAGCCCACCAGCACCACCCCTGGAGGGCAGGCGGGGGAGGAGGGCTGCCCCGGCAGTCCAGGTGCTCCCTCCCCCGCTGGCTGAGGTCTCCAGCCCACAGCGGCAGGGCAGTCGGGTGGGCCTACCTTTGAAGCTCCTGGCTCTCCTGCGCTGACTGCCGGCACCTGTGAAGGAACTGGCCGTTCTCCCTAACCCAGCTCCCCCGGGGCTTCAGAGCCAAACACGTAGCACCCCAGGGGACTGGTGTGGCAGTCTGGGAGCACTGGGCACAGGCCTCCTCGCGGCTACTGGAGAGCACCTGAGCAGGCCCCAGAGTGGCCCCGCTGCCCCGTGGGCGAGGGGGCCCAGCGCAGGGACAGGAGGCGACAATCACCAGCTTTTCTTCCAGCCCAGCCTTCGGGCTTGGCCTCATGGTAGAGCCTGGTAGGTGCAGGGGACCTTGGGAGTGTGCCAGTATGGCCCAGTGGGACACTCTAAAGCCACAAACAGGCCTAGGGTGCTTCTTGGGCCACCCGCCTTCTATGGGGGGGACTTCGCCTGAGTGGGCGGAGCCGGGGAAGGTATTAGGCGAGGGGGCACCATCAGGCCCAGGGGGGATTCTTGAGGATGTTCCCTGTAGAATTTTCTTTCCAAAGAGCAGGCCCGTTTTCCCTGGGAAGGCAGGGTTCTGGAGCCTCCCTGCCACAGGTGCCAGGTGGAGCTTGATGCCAAAGAGACGGTGCCCTCGCCTGGGGGCGGCAGCTAGGTGCCGGGGTCAGGAGGGCCAGGACCTCTTTCCCAGCAGGTGGCCGCTGAGCCCCACTGAAAGGGCCCCAAGCTGGCTGGGGCTGACCCTTGTACGCCTGCGACTGTGTGGTGGGTGCCTAGGCACATAGGCAAGCAGCAGGCGGGGAAGCCAGCAAGCCAGGGCTAGAGGAGTCTCGGGCCTGGGCGGTCTGGCGTTACCCTATGCACATCCTGTTGAAGAGCAGACGCCCCTGAGGAGTCCGTGGGGCCACTTGGTCTTGGTGTGGCTGTCAAGTGAGCGGCCCAGGTGCTCTCTGAACTGTGGCCGGGGTTGTGGGCTGGGCCAGCCAGCCCCGGCAGGAGGGAGGGCGTCCCGGCCGGCTCCCCTCACTCCCCACTTAGCTGGTCCCCAAGCATTGGCCACTCCCAGGGCAGCCCGATTGGGTGGCCAGCCTCCCCGGCCCGGAAAGACTTCTCACAGCAGACCCGCGGGCACGCCTGCGCCCGGCTGTGTTTGGAGCAGATTTCGGAGGCAGTGCTGAGCCCCTGTGGCTGTTCTCAGTCAGGGCACTGCGGCGCTAGTGTGGTTCGAGCCGTCACCCTCAGGAGGCAGTGGGTGGGGTCGGACCTGGCGGGGTCACCTCCTTGGTCTGAGTGATCCGAGTGTGTCATCAGGCTTCTATGGTTTGCTTGTGACTAGAGGGCGACACTGGAGTTGGGCAGGGAGTGGCTACAGCCCCCCCCCCGCCCCCCAGAGTGGGAGAGGAGTTAGGGAGGGGCGGCCCAGAGCGGCAGGTGGCAGCTCCCGGGGAGGAAGGGGCCCAGGCTGCTTTGCAGGATGTGCGCTCGGTCTGTGCGCTGTGGTTAAGGAAGCTGAGGTCTTAGAAGGCAAGGCCCTTGGACCTGTGTGTCGCCGAGAACCGGGCTCTGACCCCAGCCCTGGAGTGTGGGGGAAGGGAGAAGCCGGGAGACAGGAGAGAACGGCCCTTAGCTAGTGGTGACCTGGCCCTCAGGCCAGCTCTGGCTGGGGACTCGCTTCCCCGCCCGGAGGCCCCTGGCCCGACTTCCCCATCTCCTTCCCCCTCTGAGGGCGCTCCCCTGCGCCTGCCGCGGCCTCCAGCTGCTGCCCGAGGACATGAGCAGTGACCTAACGCATCACCATCGTCCCACTCCCCTCCATGGACCGATCTGGTTGCATAGCCCTAGAATCTGACAGACAAAAACGCTGAAATTCCTTAGAATACGCAGAGGGAGGAGGTGACTCAACAAGGTGCTAAAACATTTTATTAAAAATATATATTGTTAAATTAAGTCTGCTGTCTGGACAATGACTGTTTGTTTTGTTTTCTTGTAGTGGAGTTTAAAAGAGACTATTATTTTACTCTGATATATTATTATTAAAAAGGCATTTTAACTTTGTACTTGAAAACTAAATGAGCGATTTCATGTGTTTTAGCTGAGGCATTGAAGTAGCGGGTGCTTACTTACTTGTGGGAAATCATGTATCCATACTGAAGAGTAAACTCCGTAGCTGATTGGGGAATAACTTTTACTGTTACAGACGATTCGCTTTGACCCCTGGTGGCAGAGCGCTCACTCCACATTCCACGCAGCTAAATGCAGGACCTTCCAGAAGCTTCTCCCCTTCCCCCGCCCCTCTCCTTTCTCTTAAGTTCCTCCTTTTTTTTTTTTTTTTTTTTTTGTTGTTGTTGTTGTTTTGTTTTGTTTTTGTTCTTCCTTCTTCCTGGTTCTGGCATCCTTTCACCACTGTATTTTTTTGTTTGTTTTTAGGGTTGCTTCTCTATTTATTGACAATAATAATGTACATTTCACAGTCTGGTTCTGGGCCATCGGGGAGGGGCGTGGGTCCCTGTCCCGGGTGTCCTCTTGTACTCTGTGTAAGTGATGCTCGTGACATAGCTGTTTATGAAATAATTAAAGAGGTCAATGCGTACAGCAGATGTAGAAAAGTCTGTCAGTTCCGCCTTCATCACAGTTTTTTTTTTCTTTTTTTTTTTTTTTTTGTGCCCAGAAGAATATAATAAAAGCTCCTTTCTAATGTACTTGTGCTGGACAACACTTGAATAAATGGACTGTTTTTGTGCAAAAAGAAAACCGGAAAAAGCACCGTCCTAATGTCCTTTTGTCTTGCGTCTCCTCCCCCTCCCTCCCTCCCCTCCCTCCCCAGGCCAGGGGCTGGAGAACCTGAGCGGGCGGGGGCGTGACACTGGGGGCCTCGAGCTCACAGACGTCAGTGAGCAGGACTGGGGGAGGCCCTGGTGCCCGGGCCCTCGGAGACCTGAGCGGCGGGAGGGCGCGGTCTCCGCCGGTCCGCACACCCTGGGTCTCTGCCCCTCCCCGCGGGGCTGGGCCAGCAGAGCAGCCAGAGGGCAGGCAGGCTGGGCTGTCCGAGGGGACGCATGTAGCAAGTTGCGCCCAGGGGGCTGGGACTGTTCTAGAAAGCTCCAGGTGCGGGTGGAGGCTGGGGGCGGGAGCCGGGTTCCGCTCAGCGGCCAGCGCTGCCAGGGCTGCCGTGACGCCCTGCGCAGCCATCTGGGGGTGCTGCCGGCCTCAGGGCCCCAAGTCCGGGTCCCTCGGGCACCCCCAGAACTGCCTCGCGAGTGGACGGCGCCTGGTGCTCCGCAAAGCCCCTTCGCACACAGGCCTCTGTCCTCGCGCCCCTGCCAACCGTCACTGGCTCCCGGCGACAGCGGAAGAAGTGTCAGAATCGGGCGGTTCCGCTGAGGACACGCCACCTCCGTGGCAGCCCTGGAAATCAGACAAGAGTGGGAGCCACGGAGCAAACGCGCCCGTCCCTGCAGGCCCTCCCGTGTTCTCCATTCTTGTCGCGGCTGCTGTAGGATGCTTCTGAACGGCTGCGTGGCACTTTGCTGCGGGGTGTTCATGTACGTTTTAGCCATGAAGAGAGCTTCAGTTAGCATCTTCACAGTTTCGCCTCTTTCCCCTACAGTCTACATTAAAAAAAATTTTTTTTTATTGAATCCCGGATGTGAGACGGGGTGACCTGGGAACCCGGGGGCCGTGAGGCGTCTGCCCCCACTCCAGGCATCCTGCGGCTGCGAGAGCACCCGAGACCGGGAAATCCACACAGGAAGGAAGTGGACTGAGCTCACGTTTCTGGAGGCTGCAAGTCCAAGATGGAGGGGCCACGCCTGGGGAGGGCTGGCGCGACGTCGCTGCGTCACGACGTCACGGCGTCGTAACGTCATGGCGTCGTAGCGTCGCGTCACGGCGCGGCGTACAAGCGCGGGCCTGTGGAGGCGGGAAGGGCGGCCCCCCAGGGCCTCATCGCCTCCTCAGGCCCCACCTCTCAGGCCCGTCACGGCGTCTGTCGATTTTTCTTTGTGTTTTTGGATTTTTTTTTTTGTTAAAGATTTATTTATTTATCTGAGAGGCAGAGTTACAGAGAGAGACAGAGACAGAGAGGCCTTCCATCCGCTGGTTCACTCCCCAATTGGCCGCAACGGCTGGAAGGAACCAGGAGCCAGGAGCTTCTTCCGGGTCTCCCACGTGGCTGCAGGAGCCGGGCCATCCTCCACTGCTTTCCCAGGCCACAGCTGAGAGCTGGTGCGGAAGTGGAGCCGCCGGGCTCGGACCGGCCGCACAAGGATTTCAACCCCAGTCTCGGGCCGAAGCACACTGAAGCCATAGCCGTGTGCTGGTGGGCAGGGGTTCCTCCCGGCGCTTTTCTTTTTTGAGACACTAGAAGTCATCTAGTGAGAGGGCAGAGATGGCCGCACACGGTTTGGACAATGAATTCTGCAAACTGGCTTCTCTGGACCCCGGACGGAAGCCCGCTGGCTCCAAGGCGGTGGAGGAGAGGGCAGAACCTCGCCAGGCGCCAGCCCTCGGTGTCGCCTGAGCCGGGGCCATTGGTTCAGAAAAGCCCCCGGGTGTCATTTGATGACAGAGCTAGAGACGGGGGCCGGAGAGGCCTGGGCAGTGGTCACGGCGCTTGGGGAGTGCCGCTTCTGGGCCCCTGGGCTGTGATGGAGCCTGCTGGGCGCAGCAAAGCTGCCTCAGGGAGCTTGGGTGGAACCGAGGAGACGGGACCCTGGAGGCTGCCTGGGGAGCTGGTGCTGCAGAGGCCACACCCACAGAGCAGGCGGGGCACAGGCCTGCGCGGTGGGCGCTGCACAGCGCTGCTTCCCGCCAGCTTGCGGCTGGGCACTGCCGTGGGAGACCCCGGCTGGCCCAGTCCCCACTGGGGGCAGTGACCAGCTGTCTCCCTGGGTGACACAAACCTCATCCATCGGCCACTACTCTTCCACTGCTAAGCCCCAGGTGCCCCGAACCTGGTCCTGGTTGGAAGAAAGACCCCCCCCCTCCCGCCATGTAGAGCCCCTGGCCCGAGTCCCCGGTGACCCTGGCCTTTAATCTTCCGCTCACAAACCTGGGTTTTGTCTTGGGTCTCCAAGCCTGTGGCCTTCAGTGACCCGTGCCGCTGATGGCAGAGGCCCCCTACCCCCCACAGCCAACGGCTCGGGTAAAGTCAGCTCTCCTGGGTCCAGGGCGGGGATGTGGAGGTGCTGATGGGGTCCCAGGCCCCCCCCCCCCCCACATCTAGGGCGGGGCATAGATCTCGGGCAAAGATGGGGGTCCCTGTCAATAAAGGGAAGGATTTTTCCTTCCTCCCCCGCCCACCCACCCTTCCTGTCCCCCCAGGCTTCTTTGCTGGCCATCCGCCCCCACGGCCCCATTCCCTCTCCGCTTTCCCGGGCTGACTGGCATCCTCAGAGCATACCCATCTCACCTAGGCACAGCCGATTGCCCGAGCGCCCGTTGGCTGCCGCCTGACTGCTCTCTGCCCCCACCATGCCACGCCCCTTCCAGCCACTCAGCAGCAGGTGGTGCCTTAGCGTGTGCTGTCCCGCCCGGTCTCCTCAGGTAGCACTCCAGCCACACTGGCCGCCTTTCCCTGGTAGACAGCAAGGGCTGTGCTGCCGCAGGACCTTGGCACGTGCTGTTTGCTGTGCCTGGGAGGCTGCCATCTCCCTCCCCTACCTGTTTCCTGCCTTTCAGATCTCAGCTCAGAGGAGCTCTCCTTAACCACTGTATCTCGGAGAGTCCCAGGGCCACCCCCACCCCACCCCCAACCCCCGCTTTCTTATTTTCACAGCTGTCAGTCTTGAAATCCAGACATTATTTTGTTTAATCGTCTGCCTTCCTCGCTAAAATGCACGTTCTGCAAGGGCAGGATCTCCCTGGTCTCTGTTGCGCCACCGCAAGGTTGCGGCCGTACCCACTGTGACAAGTGACACGGATTGCGAGTCTGAGCAGACCAGCATCTTTTGTGTCAGCCATTCAGTCTTCACACCCTCTGCTGGGTGCCGTCGTCCCATGTCCTGGCCGCAGAGTGCATCACGGCGAGGCCTGCGTTGCTTTTAAAGAGTTCATTTGAGAGGCAGAGTCACACAGGGAGGGAGACACAGAGAGAGGTCTTCTACCCGCTGGTTCACTCCCCAAATGGCCACGACAGCTGGAGCTGAGCCGATCTGAAACCAGGAGCTTCTTCCAGGTTTCCCACACGGGTGCAGGGGCCCAAGCACGTGGGCCATCTTCTACTGCTTCCCCAGGCCACAGCAGAGAGCTGTATAGGAAGATGAACAGCAGGGACTAGGACCGGTGGCCATATGGGATGCCAGCGCCGCAAACAGAGGCTTAGCCCACTGTGCCAACGCGCTGGCCCCCAGACCAGAATTTCAAAACCTGTCTTCCAGTTGCCCATCCACACTCCAGCTCTCCAAGTCTGGGGCTGGTGCGCTGGGGCCCTGTGTTGGCTCCTCACTCCCTGTTCCAGGCTTGCTCCGTGCTCCCTCTCCGCCCACCACCCGTGGGGCTGCGTCGGGTGAGGTGGAGGCCACGGCCAAGTCACTGCCCCCACTGGCCCTGTGTCCTTGAGCAACTATGTTTCCAAATTTTTTTTCTCATGTTTTTATTCTAAGAAACTTTTAATAAGTGCCTATTGTGTGCACGACCTAGACCTGCGGTTATAAGGTCATGTGAGAGCTGATAGGGTTTATGCGGAGCACCTAGCGTCTCTGGTCTTGGCAGGTAGATCACTTAGACCAGGCACGGTCTGATGGGGTCTTACCTGGAGGGGCGGGGCCAGCTTCCTAGGTGACTCCCGATGGCACACAGACACAGACACACAGAGACACACACAGACGCACATTGACACAGACCCACAGAGAGGCACACAGAGACACAGACACAGATGCACACACGCACACAGACACCCACTGACACACACACACAAACAGACACACCCGCAGACACACACACACTCCGAAAGGTTCAGACCACGGGGCAGACCCCAAAGTGCTCCTCTCTTCTTCCCACGGGCACGACGGTGACTGTGGGCTCAGGGGCTGCATCACCCCCGTGCGAGCCCCTGCCTAGACTGGACACTTGTGGGGGGGCTTAGATGATTCTGGGAGCAGGGCAGGGCCTGGAGCGTGGGCAGGGGGCAGAGCACTGCCTGTCCTCTCTGGGGGCCTTGGCCCCTAAGAGGCGTGGCCCAGGGGCCACAGCACGGCTCTGCAGCCCAGTCCCCTGACATCTGGTAGATCCAGGCACTGCATGGGGGACCCCGCTGGGTTTCCTATTTCACAGGTTGCTGTCGTGCCCTGGGCGCCCCCACGAGAGCCGAGCCCTGCTGGGACCCTGACAGTCTCCCCCATTTTCTGTGGCCACTCTTGGCTTCTTTCCGGCTCTGCTCAGGGTTTGCTCATTTCTCGTATGTTTCCCTCACCTGATGGAAATCAGTGAGGAATGAAACAGACACTCCTCTCCTTCATGGGCTCCCTGAAGCCGGGTATGCCTTGTTGAATGAATAACTAACCACACCTAGCTCCTCACCTGCAGCATCTCTGGGACAGGGGCTTCGAAGGCTCTTTTGCTGGGCTGGGAGCTGTTCATGACGTCAGGGGCCC